CTATCATCTATCATCTATCATCTATCATCTATCTATCTTGCTTGCGGATGCAGGAAGAATATCGGAGGATGGAAGGAAAGTGTCTGAATTCATGGTTTAATAGTGTTGGAAGAAACACCCATCCGGGTTGAGTTTCAAGTGGGGAGAAAGACACTGGAAACAATGGAGGCTGTTTGGAAAGATGGTTTTCATGGTGTGGACAGAATCACCCGCCTTGAAGATGTTGGGTGAAGAGAAAAAAAGGGGCAGAGATCAGGGATGGGTTTCAATTTTTTTTTTACTACCGGTTCGGTGGGCGTGGCTAGATGGGGAGGAATGTGACTGAGTGGGCGTGGCCAACCTGACATCACTCACGCACGCTCAGTCACATGACCTCATCACCAAGCCATGCCCACCGAAATGAAAAAAATATATCATTTTTTCCAATGAAGATTGTTCTGCGCATGTGCAGAACAGAAAATAAAGATGGCGGCGCCCAGGATAAGAACCGTTCTGGTCACGTGTCCAGCTGAGTTACTTACCTATTCGGCCGAACCAGTAGGAACCCACTTCTGGCAAAAGTTGCTGAGAGTTTTATACCGTCTCTGGGCTTTTAAATTTGAGCTCATGACATCATCACCCAGCAAGAGTCAACCAAGTTTTGGACTCAGGACAGCCGACAGGGTTGCCCCCGCGTGGCCCCATGGGAATCTCACAACCCATCGATCTGATGTCTCGCTTAACAACAGAGGTTTCAGCCTCCGCTGCGGTCGTAAGCCGAGGACTCAACCGGTGTTTGTTTTTGCCACTTTGCAGGGCTGTCTATTTTGCGTGTTATTCCCGAGCGAAGGAGCAATTCAACCACGTCTTCGTACCCAACAGCAATATGGTCCATATCTCTTCGGCGGCTTCCGCAGGTGGGTTATAACCTGTCCCAGGTGCCACATCTTGCTTTGCTTGTCCTTGTCCGCTTGGACCGAGCAAGACGCCCCTTTGAGGGTAAAAATTATATTTCAAGGTCAGCCGGGGTGGGGGTGGGGGGGCATTAAGCAAGTGGTCTGCGTTCACCAGACTGGACCCTTTTATTTTCCACTGGCTGATAACCTGGTATAGCCCGGGTATGTATTTATTCCATTCCTGTTATTAGAGGGAGCCCCCTTGTGGAGAACTGCGAAGCAACTCCACTGTGCTGTACAGTAGAAGCCATTTTAAGGCACAACAGGCTGTACCTTAACAGAACTTGAATCCAAAATGCACACCATCACTGACAAAAGTACTGTGACTTGACACTATAGATATAATTCAGTCCATTTCATTTCAGCTGCCCAGGCGTTCCNATAGATAGATGATTGATAGATAGATAGATAGAGATAGAGATGATAGAGATATAGATAGATAGATATATAACTAATATATATTCCTTCTACCGAAAATGTTTCCCTGAAAATAAGACAGGGTCTTATTTTCTTTTGACTCCCAAAATAAGCATTTGGCCTTATTTTCGCGGAAATCTTATTATTTTTGAGGTGCAGAAGGCGGCAATGTTGCTGCTGTGTTGCAATATTTTCAGGGGAGGGCTTATTTTAACACATGCACTCAAACACCTGGCTGGGCTTATTATCCGGGGAGGTCTTATTTTCGGGGAAACGGGGTACATACTCAGTACGTTGTCTGGGTCAATTTACTCTAGACAGAATCTTGGTGACAATCATAGTATTAATTAAATATACACATTAATATTCTTTCAGCTTCTCAGATTTACATACGTGTTGCAACTAGCTGGGTTACCCGTGCTCCTCTACGAAAATATGTGATCGGGCTTGATAAATTTACAACCGGGCTTGATAACTTGACACTTAAAGCACCCAGTTGCAGCTTTCAGAGGACTCTTTATCAACACAAACCTTATCTCGCTTGGCGAGCTGCCAGATACAAACACTTTCCCCTCTTGAAACGAATTGTTTCCTGCAAACGCCCCCTCCCCGTTCGCTCCCCTTTTCTTTCCTATGGGAGGGACCAATCACGTCCAAGGTGTGGCTTTACTCCCAAGTCGATCTTGCTTTCTTAGTTGTTCTTGTCTTCTGGAAGTTCTGCCCATGTGCACACTGGAAACAGGCTCCACCTGTTCTTCTGCCTCGCTGCTGTCTAACTCCCTCTCTGCCTCCGACGCAGAGCCCTCGTCTGACCTTCCCTCCGCCCCCAGGAGTGGCCCATGTTCCTCCCTAACTGCCTGACTGCCTGACTCTGCTGCCAGCAGCCCACAACGGGTTGTACAGAAAGGGTCCCTTTCTATTTTGTCTCTTTGCAAAAACTTTGCTGGAATTAATGGTGTGCAAACTTCGTAAAATAAGGGGTTCTTTGTGGTGCGGTTATTTTCTTTCTTAGAAAGCCGATGGCACGATGGAAATTAAATCTCTTTAGTAACAGACAGCAGCTTCTCTCTTTTTTTTTAAAGGTACCTGTAATAATAAAACACATGGGATTTTTCCAGCGATGCAGGCGGAAAATCGGTACTCCAGAGCAAAACATTTTCCGGTTGACGTAAATGCAGAATTTATCAGAAAAGGATGCCCTACGCATCCTTCACACTTTGTGGGAAGTGCAAGTTTGTGATTTTGTAGAAAATTGTGATCCACCAACTGCATTTCGGTGGGAGAACAATCCACCCATGGAACAGAAGTTGCCTTCGGAAGTTGTGGGAGCTTCATCCCTGGAGGNAATGCAGATTCTCACTCCTGCACTCCAGAGCGTGCTGGCTGGGGGATTCTGGGAATTGAAGTTCCTTCAAGGACTGATTCCATCTTTTCCTTTGGCTCTTCTCCAGCTTTTGTGACTAACTCCTTGATGAATCCCATCTGGATGGTGAAAACCAGAATGCAGCTAGAAAGAAGGTAAAGGGAAGGGGCATAGCTGGGTGGGGAAATTCTGGGACTTGAAGTCCATCGATCTTAAAAGTTGTGAGCTCAAGAAATGCTGCGCTAGACCCTTTACATTTTAGAGATGAATGGGATATATTTCTGTTTCGAGGGTGGCAATGAGAATTGGGAAAATATATAGAATATTAACTGAATTAGAAGGGCAAAAAGTTTAAAATTAATTTGGGGATCAGATTTAGGAGAAATAAATGATAATTATTGCAAAATATTTGGATAGAACATAAGAATACGTCAATTAAGAGTTAAGGGAAATGGATATAAAAGTGATATTAAGATGGTATCTAATACCACATAAATGAAATCAAATAGGTGGTAAATATGCAAATATTTGTTGGAGGTGCAAGGAATAGGTTGGAACATATAAACATATGTGGTGGGATTGTAATAATGCACGAAAAATATGGGGCATGGTGTTTAGAGAAAGTAGAACCCTTTTGAATGTAAATTTAGATATCTCACCGAGGTTGGCGTTGCTGTTGGAAAAGCAGGATATAAATGAAACAAAAAAGGGAATTGATTGTAAATTTGATAATGGCAGCTAAATTAGTGATGGCTAAATATTGGGGACGAAATTGGGAGATTCAAAGAAATGAGTGGTGTAATGAATTTTGGAGTATGGCAACAAATGATAAATTAACAACAGAAATTAAATTTTAAGAAAAGGGATGATTAAAGCAAACCTTTATAATGAAATATGGGAGGATTTTATAAAAACAATTGTTGGTGGAAGGCAAAGGGAATAAACCTACTCAAGGATATATGTTGTTTTAGAGGGGATAAGGGCACAAATGAAATGTATTTAGTAGTTGTAGAAGAAGAAATATAAGGGAAAAAAATAGTCTCAGGACGGGTGTGTGCGGGTATGCACTGTAATATTTGTATTTTTTCCCTTTTTTGTATTTAGATTTATAGGGTACTGTGTATATTTGTATTTAAAAAAAATTTTTTAAAGTAAAAAGAACTGACCACTTCCTGTTTACCAACTAGTGGTAAACATCAGGATAGGCCCTGGGGAACTACCGTATTTTTCATAGTATAAGACTCTACAAAGTATAAGACCCACCTAACTTTTGGGGAGGAAAACAAGAAAAAAAATGTTCCTCTGCCTCCCAATAACTTGCCTCCTTGCAGCAAACAGCCCATTTCAGTTTCAGCAGAGCCTGATTAGCACAAGCAGCTGATTGTCTGGCCTCCCAACGGGATTGCCATAGCCTATTGCTGCCTCCGCGTGCCCCATTTTCGGCCTCCGCATCCTGCTTTTGGTCTCCGCGAGCCCCATTTTCCGCCCGTTCTGGGCAGCGGGGATTGGAATGGGTGGAAAATGTGGCGCGCAGAGGCCAAAAATGGGGTGTGGAGGCAGAAAAATGGGGTGCACAGAGGCGGCAATAGGCAATGGCAGTCCCCGAAGCCTGAAACAGCTGATGGTCGGGAGGCTGATCCATCTGACAATCAGCTGCTTGCGCTAATCAGGCTGTGCTGAAGCTGAAACTGAAACAGGCTGTTTGCTGCTTGCTGCAAGGAGACAAATTGCTGGAAGGCAGAGGCCAAAGGGTGGATGGAGCTACATTCAGTGTAAAAGAAGCACCCAAATTTTCACCCTCTCTTAGGGGGCGGAAGTACATCTTATACTCCGAAAAATACGGTATTTAAAGTCTAGTTTAAACCCACCACATTTGCTGATCGTTCTCCGCCTGTTTAGAGTCTGCGGCTCGAAGCAAATGAACACCCTCCAGTGCGCCAGATACGTTTACCGCTCCGAAGGCATCCGGGGTTTTTACCGAGGCCTCACCGCCTCCTACGCGGGCATCTCCGAGACCATCATCTGTTTCGCTATTTACGAGAGACTGAAGCAACTTTTAAAAGATCCCATCCGGTCTCCTTTCACCGGAAACCCGGAGAAGAATTCCACCAATTTCATCGGAATCACAGTTGCCGCCGCCATTTCAAAAGGATGTGCGTCTTGCATCGCTTACCCACACGGTAGGTTTCTTCTGTTTTCACCCACATCTCTAAACCTCCCCTGGCCTAGCAAAACCTTTTATTTAACCAAGCAATTTGCTGCTTTTTCTCTTTTTAATAACTCCATAATCCCTTGCTGGGTGGAGTCTCAGCAATTGAATGGATCTTAGCAGTGTTTTACTGGCCAGATGCCCTTCCTGTTGCCAATACGGAGTTTTGTTCAGCACATATATTCTCAGTATGCCCAGAGAAAAAAATATGGATCAAACTCAACAGCCTCCTGATTGTGAGGCGAGACTCCACCTCTAGGCTACTGCACCACTTCAAGGGTTTGCCTCTTCTTGTTGGGAAAATCAGGTTTCTAGTCCTTATTGTTCCTTGCTCTGGAACATACCCCACCCTCCCAGCAGCGTTCTTTTGTGAGAAAACAACTGCACACGCAGAAAGGACGGGGGATTTTAATCAAGCAGGACGCAAGTGTCTTTAACACTTATGCATGACCAAATTTGGCAATCTCTGTACAATAGAAGATCAATGAATTTGGCTGGTAATTGGTGCTTCACGGTAACTTCCGAGATGCTTAATTTTTAGGTGTTTTCTGAATTTGGAACCTTTTTTTTCTTAACAATGGTGGAGACTTTCACTAGCCTGCAGAATTAGAGTCCTTTTATAAAGTTTATAGGGACCCAGTGGCTCAGTGGTTAAGATGCTGAGCTTGTCGATCAGAAAAGTCAGCAGTTCGGCAGTTCGAATCCCTAGCGCCGTGTAACGGAGTGAGCCCCCGTGACTTGTCCCAGCTTCTGCCAACCTAGCAGTTCGAAAGCACGTAAAAAATGCAAGTAGAAAAATAGGGACCACCTTTGGTGGGAAGGGAACAGCGTCCGTGCGGCTTCGGGAGTTGAGTTTTGCCGTCCACACGACCACGGAGACGTCTTCAGACAGCGCTGGCTCTTCGGCTTTGAAACGGAGATGAGCACCGCCCCCTAGAGTCAGGAATGACTAGCACATATGTGTGAGGGGAGCCCTTACCTTTACCTATAAATTTTTATGCCACCCCCAATCAATGCTGAATTTAAACGCAGGCTGTTGTGTTGACATTTCGCTTCTCCTTCTCCACCCCCCCCCCC